AAGTGACTTTCCCACACAAGTTCATTAGGAAAAAGGAGCCTGTAGGGTTTGAGCCAGTAGCAGTGTTGGAAGACATCTGAAAAGAAGGAAAGACAAGTTTTATTAGATAAAGAGTCCTTAATAAGTCACCCAAATGAAGTATTAAGGCTAGGATCCTACAAACTATTTCATAACTTGGAAGAGGGATGCCGTAATCCAAGCTATAAAATATTTGAAGGTAGGTAAATGACGATTTACTAATTTCCATCATGAAAACGAAATAGATTATTAAGTTTTATTGGATTTGAAATTCCTATATCTTTTGAGATACATTGAACTTTCAATGACATGTTTGAATCTCGATTGTGCCATCTCAAGTTTGTGACTGGGATGTCGAGGATCACAAACAAGGTGTGAATAACCATGCAAATTGACTTGGTGCCCTTAATTTTATCACCTAATCGATGTGCCGGTTAACCACACGCGCTCCACCGATCTATGATAAAACTTAAGTCACCCTTTTCCACTCTTACTAGTCCTAGTTAGTGTGCCGGTTAACCACACGCGCTCCACTAACGACTTGGTAAGGTACAAAGTGTAATTTCATGGGTTAGCACCTATTTCACATTTTTCCTAAAGTAACTAAGATTGGGAATTAATAAAGGTTTTAGTTACTTTATAATTTCATTATACTTTTAATGAGTATTAAGGTCCTATCCTACCCGTTCGGCTAACGACCCTCCATCAGTCAAGGAAGTAGTGGGTGAGAGTGGACACACATTAAGCTGCCATTTTATAGGCAACAACCTTATACCCCCTTATAGACCGGCTTCGTGAATGAGGCCTACTAACGGTAAGACTGACTTATTCTTATACATATATATAATAATTAAACTATTAATATTATAGAAGTATAAGGGTTGAATTTTAAACTTTTTAAAATTCTAAGGTTCAATTTGGAAATTTAAAGTATTAGGGTGTAAGACTTTACAAATTCCAAAACTTGAGGGCAAGTATTGAAACTATTCAAGACCTTTCATTTCATAACTTATGAGTTTAATGGTCCATTAAAATGAAGACTCTTCATTTTATGTAACCTCTTATTCTTTAATGACACTTTTAAAGAAGTAACTTTTGGTTATCCATAACTTGAGGACAAGTTATGGACTCCATCATTAGCCATTAAGATCAAGAATCATACTTACAAGCAAATTACACATAATTCCTATGATCTTCTAAAACTCATAAGAACATGAACATTCATATCAAAATTTCAAGAATCATATTAACAAATATAAAACATGGAATTTTGATATTAGCCATTGTAAATGGATTAGCATAAGCATTACACCATCAAAAACAGATTTACAAGTCCAAAACCAGTTTAGTGTAATGATTCGAGCCCATTTCCAGCAACAAAACTCGAAGATATGCACACAGCAGCTTCTACGCGTCGAGTGCATGATCCAACTCGACGAGTAGGATGAACTTTCACATGGACTCGTCGAGTCCCCCCATGGACTCGGCGAGTTCAGACGAACAGTGAGCAGATTTTCGATTTTTCAAGCAGTTTGCATCAAGTATACAGAAAACAAGCCTAGGATTTGATACCACTGTTGGGTTTTAAGCATTTTAACACTCCTATGGTGTACATGCAACCCTAGAAACCTTGGATCTATGTTTTTTCTAATATACATGCAAATTTGATTTTTCCAAGGTTTACTTCCTAACTAGCATGGTGTAACATCCCAAACTTCAGAAGTATGATTTAGGGGCTTATGTGTAATTTAAGGAGTCTACTCGGCGAGTAGGTATGCCTACTCGTCGATTCGGAGCGGGTTTTGGCCATGTGTTAAGTGACCAACTCGCCGAGTCGGCGCCCGGACTCGACGAGTTGGTGCTGGGAAGAGAAAACCCTAATTTTAGGGTTTGCACCTTATTTAAAGGACCTTAAGTCCTTACCTCAGCCCCCTTATCACCCCTTGACGTCCAGAAGCAGCCGTAACCGATCCAAACCCCCATTTTGAGTTGAGTGTGTGAAGAGGAAAGTGGTTTTTTCAGACGAAGGCTTAGAGTTTAAGAAGATCATAGAGGAGTTGGTGGATTCAATTTCTCTGCTCAGTGGCATCAGTTTGAAGGTAACAAGTCGTTACCTTGACCTTGTTGCATCTAAATCTATTCATGGATGAGATTTGGGGCCACTTAGCATGTTTAGGATCCATTTCGGGATTTGGGTCTAGATCTGAGGTTGCAACTTCAGATCTAGACTTGTCTTGGTCCATGAAATCATAAAGTATCAGCCCTTTAGCTTGTTTGTGAGCATTCTTGTGATGGACCTTCTCCCTAGCTTGTATTGAGCAAAAATCACCTTGCATACAAGTAAAGTTTGCACCTTTACATGAGAAGCATGCCCTAGAAGGTTGGATCTACAATTTGGAACAATTGGTTAGCTCAGAATCGCTGGATTATGGATCAGGGCAAAGAAACTCACCGAGTCGGGCCGCCCGACTCGGCGAGTCACATTAGGGTTACGAGTCTTGAGTTGCGATTCAACTCGGCGGGTCTGGGAGATGAATCGGTGAGTCAGCGAGGGTTTCATGACTCTGTGAGTTGGAAGAACTCGACGAGTCAGTATAGTGCACTCGGCGAGTCAGGTCAACATGGATTATTGACCTCGGCTGTTGACTTTGACTTTGACCAAGAGTTGACCAGTTTGACTTCCAAGGGTATTCTGGTAATTGGGCACTCATAAATGTGTTCCATCATGTTTAGTGTGGTGGAGTTTGTGGCTGTGATCAGAGGATTTGATCTTATCTCTTCAGTTCGGCAATTGCAAGGTGAGTTATCCACACTATATCAACAGGGTCTAAGGCACCAAGGCCGGCCCTTTATGGATTTGTATCCGGATTATTACATGATATGTTTATTGTTTTGCATCCTGGTAGTTAGGATGGTGATATGCTTATGCTTAGTGGCATGGTTTGGTCGGTATCCTAGTTATATGATGATGCTATGTTAGTGACCTGGGTAGGTCGGTGTCCTAGTTATAGGATGTTGCTATGTTATTTGATCTGCTAGATCGGTTTGACTATTATTATGATAGCATATGATATGTATGTGCACATGTTTGTTTGATTGGGGGTTGGGTTGTGGCTGTCCTGCTTTGTGCTGAAGGCCAACATGCCCAGGGCGGTCCGGATATACTACAGACCCAGGAGGGTATGCTAGTAAGACCGAAGGCCCGACGAGTGGTCCGGATAGGCTGTAGGCCCTGCAAGGCGGTCCAGACGTGCCGAAGGCTCGGAGAGCGGTCCAGATGGGCTGAAGGCCTGCGAGGCGGTCCAGTCAGGCTGAAGTCTCACTATGCATGTTGTTTCGTTATATGATATGGCGAGCGGTCCGGATAGGCTGTAGGCCCTGCGAGGCGGTCCAGACGTGCCGAAGGCTCGGAGAGCGGTCCAGATGGGCTGAAGGCCTGCGAGGCGGTCCAGTCAGGCTGAAGGCTCACTATGCATGCTGTTTCGTTATATGATATGGCGAGCGGTCCGGCTAGGCTGTAGGCCCTGCGAGGCGGTCCAGACGTGCCGAAGGCTTGGAGAGCGGTCCAGATGGGTTGAAGGCCTGCAAGGCGGTCCAGTCAGGCGGAAGGTTTATTATGCATGCTGATGGTTTATATGTTATGATTATGATTGTATGGCGTTGGTATTTTGGGGGCAACTCACTAAGCTTTCGGGCTTACAGTTTCAGTTTATTGTTTCAGGTACATCAGGAGATCGTGGCAAGGCAAAGGCGTGATCGTACAGCTCCTCACTTTTTATGACTTTGTTCCTGGGATACTCTGATATGATACATTTTGAAAACAAGTTTTGTAATGGTTAATGGTTTGGAAATGTTTTAAAAGTTTTAAATTGGCTTGAATTTTATGGGTGTTACACATGGCATGGGGAACATGTAATATAAAACTAGTAGAAGTACATACCTTTCTTGTTGTTTGAATTCCTTGATGACTTTGTGAGCCTAGCACCCCAAATGTGATGCCTCAAATGCTTCACACAACACCACAATACTTGGAATAACTTGAGAGAAACACACTCTTGCACAATTTCGGCTAGCCCTCTTCCTTACACACTTTTTGTGCCGAAAATGCTCCACCATGGGGTCCTTTTATAGTTGTGTTACAAGTAGGGTTACACCATGTAAACCCTAATTGACATGGCTTTTCATTTCCCATGATCCATGGGTTTATTATGCCCATGGACTATCCATGGAGCACCACATGGGCTTTAGCCCATTTCCATAAACCATGGATCATTAGCCCAACATATAAGAATGGATGATTTGCACAATCAACCCCATATATTTAATTAGTCTCTTTTTGATCACTAAATTAATTCCAAATTAATTCTTGATCAATACTAATTAAATAATATTATTAATATATTAGAACTTATAATATATTAATAATCATTAAGTGTCCTTTCTCTCATTATAGTCTACCCAAGTATTGCAATGTCATGCAACCCAAATGGACCATATCGGGTCGGGTCAAGTACATACCAAATATAGTTATGGACTTAGACACTATATCCAACAGGTTATTGTCACTGTAGCCCAACAAACTTTAGTATATTGGTTTAAATGGTCACTCGTGACTTTTTCTGGTAGTTTAGGGGCATAAAGTCTATTTTTACCTGCTAAAAAATGCCCAAGACTTGTTATTACCGGTATCCTTGATGACGTGAGTTTTTTCACAAGTTATACGAAATAAACTAAAATCACCTCACAAATTACCAAATCATAACCAAAATCTACTCAAACACTTAAAATATTGGCACCATATCAGAACATTCTCTTCTTTCTTCATCCTCTTCGACTCATTGCAACCAGAATCCTGTTCTTCCCGTCCGACCCTTTCTCGTCGGCTTGCTCCGCCACAAAACTCAGCGGATTCGCCTCATAAACAACTGGTTGCTCCGGCGTCATATCGTATACAAAATATGTACCTTCGACTTAATGGTTCTTCAGAGTAGCTTCACAGCCTCATCGTTGCTACGAGATTGAGCTTGAACATGGTCTTTATTAAGCTCGCCAGAGATCTGTTCAACCAGTTGCTCCGACTTTAAATCGTGTATAGGATCTGCAGCTTCGACTTCGTGATCATTGTTAAGCCCGCCGATATTTTCTTCATTTTGCGATTCCACTTGTGGCTCAAGAGCGGTATTTCTAATTTTTCCACCATCATCTTCTTGAGATTCTTCTATAGTTTCACTTAGGGTTTCAGATTTTACAAATGTTAACGAATCAAGCTTCTCTTGTAAACCGAGAAGCTCTTTTACCACCAATTTCCTAACATCTCTCACAATCGGATGCAAACCTTGATGAATCGCATATCAAAAAACGAAATTATGATTCCAACAACAAAAAATTACATTTGAGAAGATGAAGAAATGAAGGTGTACCTAAATGTGTCTAGCTTTAGGAGAAGACTCATTATGGTCTCTCCGATAATCAAATTTTTGCTTGTCATCCATGGATGACTCCAGATCCTGAATACGATTTCTTAGCTCAACCACCTGTTTCCAGCTTAAGCAATTTGCCTTAATTTCATCAACGACTGAGATTTCCTCACTTTAAAACCACGATACACAAACTATATCATCAACACTGCTTCAATTACATTAGGCGTTACATGTGGCAATTGAGTTGACATCTAAACCTACTGATTAGGATGGGTGTCACCGGGTGACCCCTTCAAGTTTTCCAAAAGAGCCTTTTAAAATCTAAAAATACAATTTTGTGCCCTTCAAATGCCAAAAATAGTCACAATGGACCATTTAAACCAATATACTAAAGTTTGTTGGCTACAGGAACAATAACCCTTTAAATATTTCTATAGACTAATAAAGCTAGAGGAGAGACCACATCTATACCCTCTCTATGACACATTAAATGTATTTGGCTTTGAGTTCCTTCATCTGATTCGAATGGAATCTATTGAAGTCTACATTAGAGATGAACTTCTTGTGTGTGTGGGTTGGGGGTAGGGGTGTGCGCGGTGCGGTTTAGAGTCAAAACCGCAAACCGCACCGCATATGCGGTTTGAATATTTTAGAAACCGCAAACCGCACCACAAATGTTCAAAACCGCGTTATGCGGTGCGGTTTGATGCGGCCGGTTTATGCGGTTTGGTTGCGGTTTGTGCGGTTTAATGAGTTGTTCAACATTAAATCTATCAAAAAACCAAAAAACTGATCCGGTTATAAAAATTGATTGCTTTCATTTTATAAAAACAAATACAATTTTCAAGTTAAATCGTTTTTAATAAATTGTGATTCATGCTACTATAGTTTTGTAAGTGTCATTGTTATTGCTTTATATTGCCGTTATAGTTGCTATATTCTTGTAAACCGTGGGATCTTCATCTAATAGTGATTTAATATTACGTTATAGATATTTGGTTATTGTAAGAAATATATTTAAATACATTGTTTCTAAATCGTGATTTGAAATTATAACGAAGTAAAGAAAAAAAAGTATATATATAACATGCGGTGCGGTGCGGTTTGAACCGCGGTTTTATAAATACAAACCGCAAACCACACCGCATAGTGTGGTTTGATAAAATGATGAACCGCAAACCGCACCACGAAATTCTAAACCGCATTATGCGGTGCGGATTGGTGCGGTGCGGGCGGTTTGTACGGTTTGTGCGGTTTTTTGCACACCCCTAGTTGGGGGGGATTATCATAGTAGTTGGAATTGAATCTATGTTCTATTCTTTGATTCTGTGGCCCTAAATCATTCCACAAACCATAAAAACGTGTGGTGGTAATTGAGAAAGTTTATTTGTCCCATCTTGACTTCGATGACCATAGATGAAGTCTTTCTTTGGTTTGTGGGTGCATCAATGTTAATCAGCCATAAATACAACAAAGTGGTCAGTAAACCGACCTTAATCTATACGTCACATTAATGGCTGTCTTGAAAGACCGGCAAACACATAAAGATAGCCATTTGACTAAAATCAATACATGATAACGATGGTAGATGCATCAAACATTGTATTTGGATCGACTCATGCACCAACACCAATAATGCGATGACAAATAAAGGCCCTATAGGGGAAATTAACCATCGTCTTATGGTAATTATAACCATACCGAGTCTTCCAGTTAATATAAAGTCAGTCAACTACACATATTGGGCCATGATAGTGATGATTCCATTGGAACTTAAGAAACACGACAGGAATTTTGCAATATATACATGCAGTAGGTATGGTACGTTTTCTTAAAAATCTATCCAGCTAATTAATGTTTGAGGAAGGACATAAGTCATTCGTAAAATAGTAAATCCGAGTTTTCAGTCTGACTGTTTCCTCACATCGCTTCTGCTCCATACCCTACTCAGTTTTCCATCTTCCGTTCAGTAACTACATTTTTAGTTTCTTTTTTGTTGCTCTATTCAACACAATGAACTTGAAGTAGACAATTAACATGCGTTGCAAATTTTTTAAGAACATTGATAATATATATATATATATATCGATCTTTGTTTGTAGGGAGTATCCATACATACACTTAACTTATGGACGGATGCATCATCAAGGCTGCTTCTGCTTTTTTACTTGGATTGCTGATTTCAGCCTTAAGTAACAGAAACAGTTTCTGTGATGGGAAGTTCGAGGGTTCATGCAGGGAGAGAGAGAAACATGCACTTCTAAAGTTCAAGAGTGATCTAATAGATCCTTCAGGAAGGCTTTCTTCTTGGGTTGTTGATCACAAAGATTGCTGTCAGTGGGTGGGAGTTACGTGCAACAACTCCACCGGCCATGTTCATGAGCTTCATTTACAGAATCCAGATGCAGAGAGTGGATGGCTTCCTTACTTTGGCTATGAAAAGTCAGGATTAAGTGGGAAGATAAACCCTTCTCTTCTCGTTTTGAAAAGGTTAAGTCATTTGGACTTGAGCTACAACAATTTCAAAGGACTTCAAATTCCAGATTTTATTATTTCTCTCACGCATCTACAAGTTCTTGACTTGTCTGAGCTGGTTTCGGAGGGTTGATTCCTCAACAACTTGGTAACCTTTCTAGTTTAGTATCTCTTCGTCTTAAAGGACGTGATGCTTATACAAGCACCTTACGTGTTCAAGATCTTCATTGGCTCTCCAACCTTCGCTTTGCTTAAACATCTCGATTTGAGCTTTGTTAATCTTAGCAATGCATCGGATTGGGTAGAGAAGGTGAATATGGTTGGGTCTCTTGAAGAATTGTACTTGGCTGGTTGTAATCTTGATTCCCATACTTCGCTTCTTACTAATAGTAATAATTTCACTTCCCTTTCCACACTCGATCTTTCTCACAACAAATTCGAACCATCCTTACCTCGCTGGATTCTCAGTATCACCACCCTGGATTCACTTTCTTTATGTCAAATTGGTATTTCTGGACCAGTCCCATTCGGTCTAAGGAACATGAGCAATCTTCAAAATCTTGACCTCTCTTCAAACCTATTGGATTCTAGTATACCTAAATGGTTTGGAAATTTCTCATCTTTAATTTCGTTAGATTTGTCGAACAACGAGTTGAATGGAAGTCTTCCCGAAAGCATTGGTCACCTTTCCATGTTAGAAAGCTTTTTCATTTCCAGTAATTTTCTGGAAGGAATCGTCTCAGAGGCGCATTTTTCCAATCTC